AATTGTTTTAATTGATCACACACCAATTCTATGGCAATAGTAAGAATCCTACCCTGCTCATTCTGTACCCTACCTGGCATGATTTTCCCCTTGGCCCAGTGAAATACCGAGACAAAGTAGTCATTCAGGAGTTCAGTTTTCTCCTGAGTGCTGGTAGCCATCTCTCCTGAGTTGTTGAGCAATGGCCCCATACTCCCATTTGTCTTCCTCCTGTTCCCTATGTACCTAAACACGGACTTCTTGTTGTCCTTGATTCGCATTGCTAATTTAAGTTTAGTTGCCACTTTTGCCTTTCTAATCTGTTCCCTACAAGTGCAGGCCAGTTATTCATTAACTGGGATCAGTCTGCCAAGGTTTACATACTTTAAGGCTTATTACCTTTTTTTCCCCTCTAAAATTCATGGGACCTAGGCTTTACAAGCTTTGAAATGGGCAGCTTTGTTAGTTTCACCAATTATACTATTACATACTGTATGGTTACAGACAATGGGCCTAGAGTTCCTACATATTTAAGTGGTTCATGTCCACAACCACTATACAGAGAAGCAGTTTGTTACAATGTAAGTAATGGTTAACATACTGAAAGTAGCTTTGTGTTAAGCAAATTAGGCATTTACCCAATAAGCATGTAAGCGGAGGTCACTATATTTAGAAGTTCCCAACATCCTGGATTCAGTCACTGTCCTATTCCACTTTTCTGTGACTGAAGTGAAATTTACATTTGAGGTGAATTTCTCCTCATTTCAGCTGAATGATAAGTGCAAAGGTAAAAATACCTGTGAGTATTATAGCCATAATTGGGAAAAGAAAAGTAAACAAGATCTGCTTTCAGTGTTCCATAGATCATGAATGTAGGGCCTCTTTCAGAGGAAACTGGTTATGAATTGAAATGCCAACATAAACCTGAAGGACACTTGAGAGAATTCCAGTGATCATAAAGATCAGACTAGTTCAAACCCTGGCTTTAACCTGCTCCAATGACTTTGAGATGTAAAAATTCCTAATTGTAAATGAAAAATAGATGATTATTGAAAATATTGTCTCACTGGGAATACTGAGGGGACTGAACAAAATGAAGAGTTTTTTCATGGTATCAGTATGGATGACATGGTTCTTGGGGGTAGGAGGGTCAAATTTAAACAGGTATAATGTCATCATATCTCATGAAATGTCAGTTATGAAGTGAGAAAACAGTGAGGAAGAAGGTAAAGGAAATGGTGCATGGATAAGAGTAGTGCGAAGAGAACATTTACAGCAAATAGGCATGAGCATTCATTGGAGGGTATCTCTACTGAGATAAATACAGCAGTTATTGTAGTATAACGTTATTAAAGCATATTATTTGGGGAATGTTTTTCTTGTTCTAAGTGTTCTCTCTCTTTTCCCCAAACTTTATGCATTATTGCATGCCCTTACATACAAAGGGGATCTAACCACTGTGTACAAGAGGAAGGAAGAATACATTTTGACAATAGATTCTTCCATTCCATTTTTTGTGTAATGTGTTGAGGCTTGACAACAACAACATCAAATCTTGGCCTCCTAGTGTAAGTTCACAGCAGTCTGGCTTTAACAGCCCTCTTACTTCCCTCTGCCACAACTTTGCCGCTGCTATGACACTTGCAGGCCTGCTCCACTGTGGTGCAGCTGATGCCCTGTCTATGCTTATATTTTTCTTATTGACAGTGAGTGTTCTTGCCAAACGCCAGGGACCATAGTCACATCTGTTTGTCTCCCAAGCTTGTCTGAGGCTGCTTGGGAACGCTTTTTATCCAGAGGGCAGCTTTAACTAGGCCTAATGCTCTGAAAAGCCTCTATTTGTAAATGCATACAATGAGGCGACAAGTTCCTGTTGTCTTTCCTTAAAAATTATTCCATTTGACACTGCTTGCTCCAGTTCCTGTCACCAGCATATCAAAAGCCAAGTTTTCAGGCAAGGTGGTCTTAACAAGTTTTATTTTTTTCCCCAGCAAAATGCCTAGCTTTCCACGAGAGCACTATTTATAAGTGATAGCTTGCAGCAAGCTATGGATAAGTAGATAGAAATCAGGCAAATCGCTTTCTTCCTCTTTGTAATCCTTGCATTTATGATTTAATGTTAAGAACCATAATATTGAATCTAAACAGATTCTTAGGGTCAGTGTACTCCCTACTTCTCAATGACCGTATAATAGGAATTTAGAAATATATTGTATATGAGCTGTTATTTGTGTTTAGAGCAAAAATGTAGCGTCTTGCCCTCCACTAAACTGTAGTTTTGTCCCTTCCTCCTTAAGATGTAATGTTTTGTCTTTTAGTGATTTAAATCGACAATAAAATGTTAGTTGTAAATCCTTTTGGAAATAAATGCTGCTTTATAATTAGTTTTAGATCCAGATACAATAGCTGTTGTTATGAGACTGGATTTCTTAGTTTAATGAACACACCAAGAATTTGGGTTGGCTCTATAGAATTTTCCTCAAAACAACAACAAAGAAATATCTGCTCTCACCTTGGCTAGTGATCAGGTTGTAGTGCTTTGCAAAGACAAATGATTCATTTATGCTGAAAGAACAAGGTTGCCTTTCAGACATTCATTGATTTTAAATTAAAAAGTAACTGCTATGTTCTACATGAAGGGTGACGACAATAATACAGTAGTCCTAACTTAGTGTTAGTTGTTGCAACTCTGTTCTCTGTGTGCCTGAAGGAAAAGTTGGGAGACCTGAGTAACAGAATTTTGCTGATCAGTAATCTCGATATCTCAATACAGTGTAACCAATAATCAGTTCTGGGTTGAATTACTCAAACAGTTCTCCTATAATTCAGGTCTGCAGGTTCAATTAGCTGACTTTATTCATTTTTATTATCATTCAATTTGTATTTCTCCGCCTCCATGTTTGCTACCTTCTCTCCTTTTGTATAATTCCAGAAGGAAAAAAATCCACATATTCCATTCTGCTAAGTATGAGACATGTCCAGGAGACGTAATGAAATTTGGATTTGGGGGGAAAGGTGGTGGTGATCTTTATTTCATATTCATAGACAATTCTGTTTAATGAAATAAAACATACTTCAGTGAACTCTGAACATTTTCAGTCTTCCCTGCTGCTGCACATTAATTTTGAATGAAAAAGGATACATTAGTTTATAAATTAAACCATATATTTTTAAATTTTGATATTTGCTTCCCATTAGTTTGTATTCAAATGTTTAAAAGTACAGAGTGTGATTGGGTTGTATTTTAAACAGAGAGTGAAATAAGTGGTCTATTTAGGTGAACCAATTTTTGACAGTAGTAGTTTTCTAAAGATTCCTAAGTAGCCTGATTCTCTAACATACAGTGTTCTCAGTTTTTAGGAACAATTTTTGTTTAAAAAATAAAGCCATATTACTGTACAATTAAAAAAATAGGTAAGTATTGTGCCCAGAGTTATTTTAACTAAGTACACACAATTTGTAAGTTAAAACCTGTATACTTAATAAAAACTTTTAAAAAATATTCCCTTTTGAATTTTTGTTGCTCTTATTAGCCTTTTTCCATAGTTACTAAATTATTGCATTTCTCCTCATTTTCATATGTATTATCAATCACAAAAAAAGATTTTTAATAAGCTCAGCCTATGAGTGAAAAAATTCTGGTAAATGCAGTTAATGGAAGTCAACGTTAAAATAAGATAAAGCAGTGCCAAAGAACTGGCACAGTAAGTTAGAATAAGGTACACATTTGTGCAGTAATTAAATCTCTTGGAGTATTTTCTTTTAAAATCACTTCCTTGTTAATTTACGAAGTCTTGCACCTTTTTTAATAGTAAAAAAAAAGATTATTAAATGATTAAACATTAACCACTTTCAGCCAAGTAGTGGGGGTTTACTTTTTTCCAGTGTTATTCAGAAAATCTAAATATTTGTTTATAGCATATAATTAATTTGTTATGCATTAAGTAATGCTGTAGCGAAAAGAAACCATGTAAGTGCAAGAAAGCAAAATTCATGCAGGCTAAGGATTTGAGTGGAAACATATTACTTTGCATTGGCACCAATCTACTAGAAGTAGTTATCTCCCTTGTAATTTATCAAAATTCACTACATTTTTGCTAAAATTATAGTTATTTAATTTTTCCATGCATTCTCTAATGTTTAATGCATCTCCATAAATACCTTCCCTTTTCCCACCCCATCCCCCTTTAGTTCTCATCTGCAGAAATTAATGCAGGCAGTAACTTTCCAACTAAAGGAATAACATGCTACTTACAGGAAAAACGACAACTATTATTCTAGTTTAACAGTGCAAATCATGTTAAATTCCCCAATTCAGGATAATCCCTATTGACTTTTTCTGGGGTAACCTGACAGCCAGTAGCTAGTTCAGTCCATTAAGAATATCTGGCTATTTGCCACCTACTGTAACTGCTTAATTTCACCAGTCCAAAAATAAAAGCTCATAATTGTTTAATGGGCAGAGCAACATATCCAACCATCACTATGTCATTTTCATGCTCAGCCAGTGATTAAAAAAGGAAATATCAACATGTAGCGCAAGTTTATTTCATATACATCTTAAAGAGGATCCGTTTCATGTTACCCAGTGCATTCTTCATCTTTCTTTAAAATGAATTGATAATACTTTTCCTGTAATAAATGTTGTTCTGGCAGTAAGGCATTAGTAACCAATTGATAACCTACCAACGATATTGTGATCTCTTTTGATAATTAATCTTAGTTATTTTCCAGTCAGAAGCAAGCGTGTTTTATGTTGAGGTAGAAAGATTGCCAGTTTTGAAAATTGAAAAGCATTCCTTTTATATTATTCATTCCAGTAACAATTTATGATGCTGTGTTTAGATGCTGAGCGCTTGTCAACAAACATGATTATGTTTCAATATAAACAAGATTGGTGACTTCACTATGCAGCTCCATCTTCGTTGAGAATGTTTTGATTTAGGTTTAGTTTGTATAACCTGTGTATTTGTGTCATTTTCCACTCTTTGTTAATAGTTTTCTCTGATAATTACTTGCAGACAAACAAGCTTACACTTAGGATCATTGTGTATGGGAGATGTCAAACGGAGAAGGAAAGCTGCACCCCTGCCAGGACCCACAGGTAATTCATTTTACTGTGAAGTTAAATCTTCAAGGTACATTGGTCAGTAACCCTGCAAAGTGCATGATAAATTCATCAACTCTTCCAATAGCCTCAGGTATGTGCTTTAATATTTAGATATACCGAGCATTTGAAGGACAGTTGAGTCAGTTGATTCCCTAATCTCTCATACTAAACCTTTTCAAATACAATACTTCTTTAAAGAAAAGTGATCTCTTTGCCTTTGATAAAAATGTTAGACAACAGAGTTTCCTATTCATGTGCAGTCAAGAATACAAGGTTGGGAAGCATGTGTCTATTTTACAATGAAGATTGTATGAAAAATAGAATAAATTTAGAAAGCGACAAATGTTGGGCAAACAATTGAAAGTTTGGAGTCAAGAATATGACAGATAGCTTCAAAATAAGTGCAGCACATTAAGTGGCTAACACCTGCAAGTGCATTTTCTGGAAGGTTTTTTTACAGATGCGAGGTCACAACCAGAGCATACATTTTGCTGATGTCACAGCTGGGAAATTACTTTTTCAATACCTAACTGTGATTTATAGGACTCTCAGTTTGTTTATATTAATTATATATGTGTACTCTATTTTATATGTGTATGTGTATCTTTGTGTTTACATCTACAGTTTGGTTTCATGTATTTTTCACAAATATGTATGATATGAATAATGTAGCTATTGGTATATTAGCATATACTTGTGGTACCTTATACATAGGATTCTTAAATTCAGTTCAATCCTAGATAAATATTTTTAGAGTAACCTAATGTTTGCATTCCAGTTGAATGGCCCCCTGAATATTTCATTGTTTTGAGTATCAGTGATAGAAACAGACCAAGAACAATCTCAGAAATGCTATAAAAGCACCTTAGTGGCAGCACTATGGAAAAAGAAAATGCCTGGGTCAGGTCCTAAGACTCTGAACGTATGTGAAGTGAGGAGGAAAATACTTAATGGCTGAGGAGAGGATAATATAATTATTTCTACAAGGTGATTTTGACTTAACAACTTGCAAGTACCAGAAAAAGTCATTTTTGTACAGAGTAGGTATAAAGTATCAGGAAATTCATTTTATTATGCATTTTACCTTGGACTTCCAGTGTCCACTATTTTATTTTTACAAGCTGACTCATTATTTGCAAAGGCAACCTTTTGATAATGAGGTCACTCAATATTTTTTATAAGCATTCATTCTTTTTCCAAATACATGACTACATCTTCACAATATACAAGATTTTCCCCCCTAAACGCTTTGTCTTATATTTAGAGGAAGAAATACAACATTTTTAAAAAACAACAACAAGAAGCTTTGTATTTGCTTCTGTTTAGCTACTGTAAATTTATCCCTTTAATTTAAGCTGAACTATTTCATTTTGTACTGAACAGAAAGATGGAAAATTTTATGTTGGATTATAATCAAATGAAATGATTTTCTGTTTGCATATTTGTGGGTTTTTTAAACAAATATAAACCTTAAAAATATTAAGTCATACCGTGTCGGGGATACAGGTATGTTCATGTACAAATATTACAGAAATATATTGTGATAATCTCAATATATTCCAACATTTTTTCTTCCCACGGATGAATTAATGTTAAAATCCTTTATTAAAAACATTTGATACCATAATTTGAAAGGAAAAAACTTGCATACCAACAAGAAAGCTAGATTAGAACAAATGACTAGTATGCTTATTGGCATTTCTTTTTCCCAAATACATTAAATAGTTAAAACATAGGAACCAAAGGACCAGATTTAAGCCCCCCAAAATTATTTGCAGACTTTTTTCCAGTTAGATGCATGTGGACAATAATCACAGTAGTGTTTCTCTGCAAACCAAGAGAAACAGTCTGTCAGTGTTTTCTCTACCTCCTATTTGAACATGGTTGTGAAAGCTAAAGGCTGAGTGTAGATTGGTGATCAACTATATAAGCTTTATTTTGAGGTTTGATACACGTGCTACAAATTAGTAAAGCATGACCTTATGTGTCAGCCAGGTAGGTGAGGAAAACAGTTTGGTTTCATAACCCCAATCTATGTTTACAGGAGAAAATTGCTTGGGTACATGCATTTCTATAATAATATGCATGGTATGTTGCATTTTTTTTTTTTTTTTGTATATTTGAGATGGATGCTACCGGGGAGAATTACTGGTGATACTAATTAGGTGTTGAAATATGTTGTGTGTATTTTTATGAATAGTCAGGTTAGCACCTGCTCCAGTACACACTTTCCGATATCTTACAAAGCTGTAGACCACTGTAGCTAGCAGTGTTATTGGTTAAACATTTATTAATTGTGACAAGAACACCCAATTTATTTCAGTACTCTAGCTTATTTACTGCTCTTTCACCTTTGTATTTTGTATTGAAAAAGTAAAATGAATATTGATAGGGTTAGGTATTGATTTCTAAATTTATAGCCTGTTCTCAGCCTTGAGTCAAAGTCACATACCAATAGGTTTGTGTGCATTAGTAGCAAAGGATGTAGATTTACTCTTGTAGCTATGAGAAACTATTGAAGCAAAAAAGTTTAGCTGCACAGAGCATTTTATAGTTTGAAAAATGTCATCTGTAAAGGTGAAGTAAAGAAAGCCACGTTGAAAAGCAGTGAATAAAATAAGAGAAATGCTATTAGATATGGATTGCAAGGGAGACTTACCAGCTGACAGCAGAGGCAATTATGTCCTATTCTTCTGTTTTTACTACAATACTTTTTCTGGGGTTTGTGCTTTTAATAAAGTCTCTTTTGACACGTCATCTACTTAACTAATCCATTTACTAAATTAAAGAATGATTCATTGTAAGTATACATTGCATGTTTTTTAAGTATGACTTCTGTTTCTTAAGAATCAGAAATGCATGATGTTATACATTGCAGTCAACTACACGTTTTCTGGCCCAACTTCCTCTAAAGAAATTGATACCTGATATTTAAGCAACACTGCATTCAGACGTGGGACAATGTTGCTCTGAATTACTTCACGTCTTCTAACCACCTGAATAGTAGTACTAATCAATATGACACTCTGACATCATTCATTGCAATTACACAATGCACTCAATTTTTTTTTAACTTTTCCCTGTATTTTTAATTATTTGGTTTGTCTATCAGAAGACAGAACCAGACCAAAACCATATTTAGTACTTTTTTAAAGCAATTGGTAGCCATGTAAATATATCTATACATAGAATGTAGAAGAGAATCAGCAGAGCATTAGATCCCTAAAATGTATGCATTTGAAATGTTCATAGCAACTTCAGTAAACATTCGGAGTTTGTCCATTTTAAGTCTCTAATTAGTTTTGTCAACCTGATGTAAACTGAGTAGGAGTTTCATTCAGTTCTGTTCCTTGAATTCTAATCTTCTCTTCCCTACAGCCTACCTTATTCTCTCAGCTCCCCAAATGATCCTCCGATCCCCATCCCATTTACCATAACCTTTGGATTCTCATTTTTTGTTTTTCTTATATTCCTTTAGATCCTCTAAATTTTATTAGGGAAATGCATGCTATTCCTACCGAACATATTCTGTTTGATATTGGTAGGTTTCTGTTAACTTAAGTTACAATTTACAGACTAGAAATTTCATGCAAATTAAAAAGAAAAAATGAAGACAAATGACCAACTAAAACTCTACAAACTTATATCTTATAAAGATGAAACAGATTTATTAGGTGTAAAATGTATATACATATAGAGCACACCTATATAAAGCATCAAACAAAATGCATCTAAAACCATGTTGATCATTTTCCATAGAAGCAAATTTCAGATTTTACTGGACTTAGCATTTGCCATAGTTCAGACCGATACAATCTGAAATTACTAAGATACGTCTTGTATTAAAAATGTGCTTTAATGAAAAATTTGACAGATTCTTAATTATAGCAGAAGCTCTGAGCACTGCTATAATGCTGTCATGACTCACTTTAACAAGGTAATCAAAAGGCTAAATGTTTTCATTCCTTTTTTAAAATTGCCAATGGAGCAGCTAAGCAAACTATTTTGCTGATGCTTAATGTGTCAGTGATTAAAAATAAGACCTGAATATCTGCAGTGCCTAAATGATTATTTGGAAAAGATTGTGATTATACTGTCATAACAGAGGTTGTCCAGGCTAAGCTTGTGATGAAGGTCAACTTTCTTAGGTATTTATAGATAAAAAGCAGACTTGCCTCACCTGGATAAACTGGAGGTAAATTTCCCAAACACTTGGGCATGACTTGTTCAAACTCCACATAATTCCCTGTGTGGACAATTTAGAATTTATGCCCTCCATCTTAGATCTGACATCTAAGTGATATTGGTTGTCAGTATGGGCAAAGTTTTGATTAATTTTTGTTTGACCCAGTGCTGCTTAAGTTTCTTGTATTCACAGCTCTGGAGACTGAAGTTCTTTGTCTGTACACAGAACAAGTACAACACTTTCACTAGCAGTGGAAGGTTCTCCATGGTGTGTTGCATTATGCTTTATCTATGACCTAGGGGTCAGCCACCTCTAGTGGTAAAAGAGCAGCCCTTGCCTCACTGATGAGAAATCAAGCAACAAAAATTGACTTTTGTGGGGACTACGTTGACATTTTTTGGTGTATTCCCTTTTCTCTGTCTCTCCTTACTACCATATTTATACATTCCATACTACCTCAGAGTGAAGCCTGTGGCAGATGGCAGTGACATTACAGATGGTAAAAAATTTCAAAAGACTTTTAACACCAGATGTAACTATCCTGACTGGTGGGCAAAAATTATCTATTCTGAGCCTAAGCCCCTACTTTAAGGCTCTCTCACATTAAGACATAAAATCTACTACCACACTTGTAAAGCAAACTGGGAAAAAGAGGAAAGAAAAGAGATAATTACTGACAGCCGCAAGGAGCTGGCAAAGGAGAGATGAGTGCCCCGGGAGCCACGGTCCTGGAGCAGCTACTCCATGAGGCTAGAGCAGCTCCAGGAGACCAGAAGAGGAGCATGCAAGGAGCGCGGTGAGCCAAGGA